AGGATATACATATACATCAACAATACCAAATAGAGTTTGTATGTGTGTTATGTGTGTTTGCATATATACACCTTCAGAAACCATATATCTGTAAAATTGATTTTTAACAAGAATGTAAAGACAATACAATGAAGAAAAAAATACATTTTTTCCAACAAATGATGCTGGAAAAACTAGGCACTCATTGTTGCGATATTGTGAAATATATATTTGATCTTTGTCCCTGGTTGTTGGCTCAAAGCTTCTAAAACTTTCAGAGTGACAGGGGTGATAGAAACAGCTTTTATTATAATATTTGGCCTTAGTCCTGGCTCCTGACACAAGAGCTTCAGGACCCTTAGAATCTCTGGAGTGATAAGAGTGTCTTTTTGTATACTAATGAGATGACTGAGACTGTAGGCTCTTAGGTAGCTTCAGAATGAGGGCTGGTCACCAGAAAAACCAAGGTGTGATTAGAGATTTGGAACTTTCAGCCTCATCTCCTGACAGACATCAAGGGAGTAGAGAGGGATTGGAAATTGAATTAAATCACCGATTATTCAAAGGCTAATGATTTAATCAATCATGGCTATGTAACGGAAGCTCCATAAAAACCTTTAAGCATGGGGTTCAGAGACCTTCCAGGTGCTGAACACATTAGAGGTTCTGGGAGGGTGGTGTGCCCTATGCGTCTCTTCCATCTGGCTGTTCCTTAGTTGTATTCTTTATAATAAACTGGCAATAGTAAACAGTTTTCCTGAGTTCAATGAGTCATTCTAGCAAATTATTCAACCCAAGGATGGAGTCATGGAAATCTCTGATGCATTGCTGGTTGGTGAGAGGTACAGGAGACCTGGGACTTCTGAATGGCATGTGTAGTGAGAGGCAGTTTTGTAGAACTGACCCCTTAATCTGTGGGGTGTGGTGTTGACTTTGAGTTGTTAGTGCCAGGATTGAATTGAATCATTGAACATCAACTTGGTGTCCTGGAGAGTTGGAGAATTGTTGGTGTGGAAGAACTCCACACATTTGGTTTCAGAAGTGTTCCACAGGAAGAATGAATAATAATAATTGGAAAAAACAAAACTAAGCAAACAAATGAAAAGAATCTCTATCCATAACCTGCACCATGTAACTTGAAAGACTATACACTGAAATGTAAAACCCAACAATACTTTAAAAATCCTTGATAAAAACATAGGAAAAACTCTTTGTGAACTTGATTGAGGCCAAGATTTCTTAATGGAGACAAAAAGTACAAACCAGAGAAGACAAAGTTAAACAACAGCACATCAAAAACTTCAGCTTTTTGAAAGACTACTAAGAACATTTGAAAAGCAATCTAGAGACTGGGGGAAAATGCTTAAAAGACAGAATCTGAGGAGAATCAGTATCTAGAATTGATAGAGAACTCTGAAAAACATAATAAGAAAACAAGGTTGGGTGTGGTGGCTTATGCCTGTAATCCCAGCACTTTGGGAGACCAAGGTGGGTGGATCACATGAGGTCAGGAATTTGAGACCAGCCTGACAAACATGGTGAAACCCCGTTTCTACTAAAAATACAAAATTAGCTGGTGTGGTGACACACACCTGTAACCCCAGCTACTTGGGAGGCTGAGACAGGAGAATTGCTTGAACCTGGGAAGCAGAGGTTGCAGTGAGCCGAGATCATGCCATTGCACTCCAGTCTGGACAACAGGAGCAAAACTCCATCTCAAAAAAAAAAAAGAAGAATGAGAGAAAAAGAAAAAGAAAACATCAAACTAAAATTTTAAAAATAGGCTAAAGATTTGGATAGATCTTTGCCAAAGAAGAAATATGGATGGCAACTATTACTAAGTACAGGAAGAGATGCTCAGCATCATTAGTAATTAGGGAAATGAAATTAAAATTACAAGTGAATACTACCATATACACCATAAATACAAGAATGATGACATTTTTTTAAAATCTGAAAATACTAAGTGTTGACAAGGATGTGGAACAACTGGAACTTTCATACATTGCTGGTGGAAGAGCTATTTTGCCAGGTCCAGCAACTTTGGAAAACAGCTTGGCAGTTTCTTATGAAGTTAAATATACACTTACTGTACACCTCAGCAATCCCACTCCTAGTTATTTATCCAAAATAAATTTAGACATAGATCCACAAAAATGTTGTATATGAATATTTATAGCAGCTTTAGTCATAATTGTCCCAAACAAGAAACAACCCAAATGTCGGTAAACTGGTGACTGGATGAAAAAAAAAATGTTACATCCTTAAAATGGAATACCATTCAGTTGTAAAAAGCAATAAAGTATTGATTTAGACAAAATTACAGAGACAAAATGCATATTAATGATTGGCATGAGCTGGGGGTAGGGAAAAAAGTGGATTGACTATAAAGGGACATGAGAAAAGTTTTTGGGCTGATGGAAATATCCTACATCTTAATTGTGGTTGTAGTTACCCAAAGATCTGTACATCTAGAAAGGATAAATTTTACCTGATAAAAATTATTTCTCCATACATGCGATTTTTAAAAAATTGTGAAGACATGGATGCTTAATTATGATATTGTTGCTTCTCAGCAATATTGACTAGAGGTCCTGGTTTTTACGATGAGAGAGAAAGAGGAAATAAAAGCCTTCAAGATTGTCATTATTGGCTGGCATAATTTTCCACATAGAAAATGAACCAAAAGTGGTCAAAGAAAAACTATTAAATTAATAAGACAGTTTAGCAAGTTCACAAGTGATAAAATCTATATGCAAAAGTCAATTCCAATTCTATTTGTCAAAATTTGCACTTCAATAAAGATATTATTTATAATTCTACTGAAGAAGATAACCTGTGAATAAATCTAAGGAAAATTGAAGACAGGGAAAGAGAAATGCCTGCCCAGCTCAATAACAGAGGAGTTTTCCTATTAAAGGACCTATGAAATTATTAATAGGAAAACGATTATGCCATTGCTAGAACTATACTGGGGCAGACTGAGAGGTTGTGTTGAGAAACACAAGCTCACCTAAGACAATATGAGGAAGGTATAAAACAGTGTAAAGGAAAATAACTTTGGACGTGTATCCAGTAGCTGGGGCCATCAGCTCTTTGTACCCAACAGATAACTCCAATATTGCCTTTCATCTGGGTGTCCATGCAGTCCAGGATCCACTGGTGAGTAACTGAGTTGGAAATAAAAATAAAAAACTCAGTCTAACTTATTTTCTGTTAATATTGGATTTATTATGAAATAATAAAAATCCACAAAATGTTTACCTAGAATAATACAATGATTACCCTTGTATCCACCACCCAGCTGCATGAAAATTTGCCATATTCTATTAATGTTTTCACTTCCCTCGACTTCTCTTCATGAGGAAACAATTGCATGGAAGAAAAGGCAGATGGGTAACAGGACAAGTTTGCTTTCACCTCTTTTTTCTCATGGTTATAATGGGAGGCAAAAATCCCATTCACAACTCCAGACATAGCATGATGCATGTTAACATGGGTAACTAGAGAGGCAGTATCTGGAGGATTCAGAGAAAAGGCAAATGGTGATGGGTCTTTCAAATGGTCTTCATAGGTGAGCAAGGTGTGTCAGCAGGAGGGCAAATGGCCTCGGATTAGGACCACTGCCCATGATGATATGCTGAATGGAAACCCAAGGGTAGACCTGGCCCCAGTGTTGACAGGCATCACAAGCTGCTAACTGTGGACAGTGGTGAGCAGAATTTACTAACCCTGCTCACTTGGAATTTCTGGTGTGTATCTCTACTTCCACCTCCTCGTTTTAGCCTGAGTGACCACTGAGGGTGTTAAGTTCTATATGAGTGGTTAATCAAGATCAAACCACAAAGATTATAGGAATATTTGCAGAGTTTAAGGATCTACATTGACACTGTTAGGGTTCCAGACAGTGCTGGGAAAGGGTGCTAAATAAATCACAGGGCCCTCACTGCCCAGACTCAGGGGCACAGACTCATGGAACAAGTAGGGTTTCTAAGGGGATTTCAACCTTGCAGGGGTCACAGGAAAGCCCAACTGGTGTTGGGAGGTATGGCATCTTACTGCTCAAATGTTGGGCTCTTATTTTAGATATTTTTGCCCCATGTTTTAGCTGCATTACTTCCTTACTCAGTTAAAAAATTCTCACTAGGTTCAAAAACTTCATAAGAATGTTTAAACCTACTTCACTGATCCAGGAAATGGTGCTTGGTAAGAACTAAAAATAAACCAGAAAGGCTTAGGCTGGGTTTCAATGGCAGACTCCAAGGAGTTCGAAGGATTTCTAAACTTGGCCAAAGGCTTTCCTGCTTTTCTATTTCAAGTTCATTCACTTGAGAATTTTCAAAATCTGAAGATCATTCCTTCCTTTTCCTGGAATTGAAAATAGAAGAACCCTGGCTTAACTTTGGAGCAGATTGCAATTTATATTTTGGTCCTCTGTGATGCAATTGTGATTGTATAATGAGGTAGTTAAGGGTATGGACATTGGAGTCAGACAACCTGGGTTCAAATCCCAGCTGTTTACTGACTGCGTATGAGGCCTTAACCTCTCTCAGTCTCAGTTTCCTTGTTTGCAAAGTTAGAGTTGATATGAGGATTACATACGATAATGTGTGTGATTAACACAGGTACTAGAACACAGTGAGTATTCAGTAAATGGTAGCTCTTACCTTACTCTTATTATTTCAAATGTAATTATCTCTTAATTTTCTGTACTCATCTTGGAAATGAAGCAATAGTATTCCAGGTTGTGTGTGTTAGTGTGTGTATCTGTATGTGGGGCAGGGGCTGAGGGGTGGTCAATACATTTGTGCAACTTTTGTGTCAGAGATGCTACTGACTAAAATCTGTTTCCTCATATTCCTGGGCATTCAGCTAAGGCCACCTTTCACAGACTCCCTTGTAGTTAGGTGATGCCACGTGACTAAGTTCTAGCCAAAAGTGTGAACAGAAGTTATATGTGCCATTTGTTGTCTTGGCCCACAGATATTTCATGTAAGTCCTCTTCCATGCTCTTTCCCCAGGGATGGAGATGACTATAGTGATCTTAGGAACTGCAGATGAAGATGGCAGAGCCCCTGTCAGCCTGAGTCTTTGAATGACAGGTGGGGGATGAAAGGAAGACAACCTCCACTGAGAAAGAACTACCTTGGGCTAAGATAAATAAACTTCTACTGTGTCTGAAACATTATGTATTTTGTTGTTTGTTATAATAAATAGTTCCAAATGCCTAGTGCCTTCTTGATCACCTTCTTCCTTAATTTATACTTCTTTTTAGCTTTCCACTTAAAAATCTTGACTTAAGTAAAAGTTAAAAGAAAGTTTCCTGAGAGGCCAGTTAACCAAAATCAATATCTGAGTGTCTATTGATTTTATGGAGCACTTCTGCTCTTTATTTCCTAGGACCCAAGCATCTTGGGAATTAAGCCTCACTAAAACAGAATTTTGAGGGTGGATGTGGGAAGGTTCAAACTACTGGATTTTTCTGTTCTTGACATCAGTGACTTAACTGTAACAAGTAGAGTTCACTTAGCCATGTGTCCCCCTTTGAACATACTTGAAAGTGTTCATGAAAATGAACAAAGTCTTAGTTGAGAATGACTAGAATCACTAATGGAAATTAAATACAATTTAAAACACACAGTTACTTGCAAGAAGTATAAAGAATATACAGCAGGTTTTCACATCAGTCTCCAGTTCCTGCCTACTTACAGAATAGTTAGTTACCCTTAACAAATGAGATTGAGGGAAGAGCCTCTTCTCCAAGTCTCTGTATCTTCTTTTGTGGGTTCCCTGTTGCTACTGTCCCCAGGCCACTTTGCACCAAAATCTTTCTTTCTTTAAGTACTTGGTTTATATACTAAGTCTTACTAATTGTCTCCAGACAACTCTGCTTTTTCCCCAATGTGCCTGGCAAAATGTTGGCTGCTTCCCTTATCTGTTAATAAAAATGGTTGCCTATTAGCACCTGCATGCACCACCAGGGTGCCTGAGGGAAGGTCTGCACAGCTTGGTGCTACTTCCCAACTCCCCAGTACCTGTGCAAACCATCCAGGGGCCTGGGGATTGCCCAGCCCAGTCCACCACAAGTGGCACCTGAGCACTCTTCCTGGGGTCTGAGATTGGCCTCATTCAACCTGGTGCTACCATCAAAGCTGGCACTCACCTGTAGGTCTGAGGACTGGACCACCCAACTTGTTGCAATGACTGCCAACACCAGTGTGGACCACTTGGGTCCCAGAAGTTTGTTCCACTACTACTATTGTCATCAACCATGCCACACATCTGCTTCCCAATAGCTTGAGAACATGCTTACCCACCCAACTCACTACTGTCCTGTCCAGCACCCAAGCAAGCCACCTGGAGGCTCAAGAATTGGCCAGCTTGGACCTGCTAACACCAGAACTAGTGTATGCCACCCTGGGGCTCAAGGACAGGCACGCTTAGCCTACTGTTGCCACCACTGGGGCTTTAAGACTGGCCCAACTGATGTCGCAGTCCCCAGTAAAACTTTACCACAGCCCCCATTAACACATGCACCCTACGCCACCAAGGAAATCACAGACACCACTGATGTAATCATACAGAAACTACAGTACTGCATGCACCCAGAATCAAATCCAAAGTGCCCAATCAACACAATAGATATAACTTCAGGAAAAATTCCTCCCCTATGAAATCAAATTTAAAAAATTGGAAGAAGTGACTGTGCAGTTATCAATGTACAAACACAGGAAATATTAAAAAGCAAGGAAATATGACAACTTCAAAGGAATATAATCATTTCCACTAACAAATTCCAACCAAAAAGAAATTTATAAAATTCCAGAAAAAGAATTAATAATAAATTTCATTCAGGACATAAGCATAGGCAAGGACTTCATTACTAAAACACAAAAAGCAATGGCAACAAAAGCCAAAATAGACAAATGGGATCTAACTAAACTTAAGAGCTTCTGCACAGCAAAAGAAACTATCATTAGAGTGTCTCACCCCAAAATCTCCTGAAACTGATAAGCAACTTCAGCAAAGTCTCAGGATACAAAATCAATGTGCAGACATCACAAACATTCCCATACACCAATAACAGACTTAAATAGAGCCAAATCAGAATGCACTGCCACTCACAATTGCTACAAAGAGAATAAAATACCTAGGAGTACAACTTACAAAGGATGTAAATGACCTCTTCAAGGAGAACTACAAACCACCGCTCAATGAAATAAGGGAGGACACAAACAGACTGAGAAACATTCCATGCTCATGGTTATCAATATTGTGAAAATGGCTATGCTGCCCAAAGTAATTTACAGATTCAATGCTGTCCCCATCAAGCTACCTATGACCCTCTTTACAGAACTGGAAAAAACCACCTTAAACTTCATATGGGACCAAAAGAGAGCCCGCATAGCAAAGTCAATTCTAAGCAAATAGAACAAAGATGGAGGCATCATGCTACCTGACTTCAAAATATACTACAAGGCTACAGTAATCAAAACAGCATGGTACTGGTACCAAAACAGAGATATAGATCAATGGAACAGAACAGAAGTCTTGGAGGCAGCACCACACATCTACAACCATCTGATCTTTGACAAGCCTGACAAAAACAAGCATGGGGAAAGGATTCCCTGTTTAATAAATGGTGTTGGGAAACTGGCTAGCCATGTGCAGAAAGCAGAAACTGGACCCCTTCCTGACACCTTACACTAAAATTAACTCTAGATGGATTAAAGACTTAAAAATAAGACATAACAGCATAAAAATTCTAGAAGAAAACCTAGGCAAAACCATTCAGGACATAGGCATAGGCACGGACTTCATGACTAAAACACCAAAAGCATTGGCAACAAAAGCCAAAATAGACAAAGGGGACCTAATAAAACTCCACAGCTTCTGCACGGCGAAAGAAACAGTCATTAGAGTGAATCAGCAACCAACAGATTTGGAAAAAATGTTTGCAATCTACCCATCTGGCAAAGGACTAAGATCCAGAATCTAAAGCAGATATACAAGGAAAAAACAAACAAGCCCATTCAAAAGTGGGTGAAGGATATGAACAGACACTTTTCAAAAGAAGACATATATGAGGCCAATAAACATATGAAAAAATGCTCGTCATCACTGGTCATTAGAGAAATGCAGATCAAAACCACATTGAGGTACCATCTCACACCAGTTAGAATGGCGATCATTAAAAAATCTGGAGACAACAGATGCTGGAGAGGATGTGGAGAAATAGGAACACTTTTACACTGTTGGTGGGAGTGTAAACTAGATCAACCATTGTGGAAGACAGTGTGGCAATTAACATCACTTAGTTTGAACATCAAACAACATCACTTAGTTGCTTGAATTTCTGTGTGTGTGTGTGTGTGTGTGTGTGTGTGTATATAGAAAAATAAATCAGTATATCAAAGACATACCCGTACTCACACGTTTGTTGCAGCACTGTTCACAATAGCAAATATATGGAATTAACCTAAGTGTCAATGGATGAATGGATGGAGAAAATGTGGTATATGTACACAATGGAATATTATTAAACCATTAAAAAGGAAGGAAACTGTCACTTTGAGCAACATGGATGGAACTGGAGTTCATTATGTTAAGTGAAGTAAGCTAGATGCAGAAAAATAATTTTTGTATGTTCTCTCTCATATGTGAAAGCTAAAAAAGTTGATCTTATGGAGACGGAGAGTAGAATGATAAATACCAGAGGCTGGAATGAGGTGTGGTGGGGAGGGGAGGATGATGAGAGGTTGTTTAATGGATACAAACATACAGTTAGATAGAAGGTGTATGTTTTTATGTTTGATAGCAGAATGGGATGACTATAGTTAGCAACAATGTGTTATACATTTCAAAATAGCTAGAAGAGAGAACTTGAAATATTCCCAACATACAGAAATGATAAATACTCAATGTAATGGATACCCCAAAACCCTGATTTGATCATTTCACATTCTATGCATGCAACAAAATATCATATGTACCCCCATAAATATGTAAAATATTATGTATTAATACAAAAATGGCCGGTTGTTGATGAAAATGACTAACTTACCAGAGCCCTCTAGCTGCCCTCTTTCTGCAACAGTGATAAGGAGGAAGTTCTGAGCTTTTTCACCCTTGTAAAACACCTTGATATTTCCTGTGTGAATCACACCATTACTATTCCTCCAGCAATGGAGGCTGAAAAAAATTACACCCCAGGCCTTGTTTCTCACACAGTAGGGCTTGGCAGCATGCTCCACCCTCAGATTCTATTCCTAGGGCTTACCATCCAAGGAGTCTGCGATGGACTGGATGTTTGTGTCTCCCTTTCCCCCTCCACCCTGGCCCAAATTCATATGATGAAACGCTCATCCCAATGTGATGGTATTTGGAGGAGAGGACTTTGGGAGAGCCTTAGGTCTTTAAGGTGGAATCCTCATGAATGGGACTCAGGACATTATAAGAAGGGGCCAGAGAGCTAGCTATTTCTTGCTCTTCTATGTGAGATACAATGAAAAGTCAGCTATGTTCAAACCAGCAAGTAACCTCTCACTAGACACTGGATCTGCTGGTTCCTTGACCTTGGATGTGTCAGCCTCCATAACTGTAAGAAAGAAATGTTTGTTGATAAAATAAATGTTTGTTATCCTAGTCTATGATGATTTGTTATAGCAGTCCTAACTGACCAAAACAGTCAATATATTATGTATAAGACGTGAACACAAACCAAAACTCCTTACTGAGTCCACTAAAGCTTTCCATGAGGGTTCTGAGAACAGTTCTGGCAAAACAAATGTGGGAAGGAGTATGAAGGGGTTGCTGGAGCTTGGCGCTCCATCGATTCAAACTAGATGTTATGTAGCTCACTGGTAGGTGTAGGTAGACAGCCAGTGCCCTTGATTGTCAACAAGTAGCAATGTTAGTTGAAAAACAGACCTAGAATTAAGGGTAGTTCTGTAGTTAGGGATACAGATTATCAGGATACTCCACTATAATCCACACTGTAGTTGCAAAGATTAAAATATTATTCAAAAGAAAGAAAATTATATGAAAGAGAATTCCAAAATCCCATAGCCTTCATATTCCAAAAGCAGGTTTTCTTGAAGAGAACTCCGGGATACACTGTAAAACAGAGAAGTTCCTAACTTTCAGGTCCTTATTCATTCTGAAGTTATGACAAAGCAGCAGT